ATGTGGCTGAACAGTACACTAGTAAATCATGTGCATAGCTAATAAGAGACACACTCTGGGAAGTGACTCTGGAGTCTGCTACTGAGATGGGCTCAGGGGGTTAACTGCCCGCAGCCCCTCAACCCCACTGTGTGTGTGTGTGTGTGTGTGTGTGTGTGTGTGTGTGTGTGTGTGTGGTGACACAGGCTAGCCTCAAACCCACTGTGTAGGCAAAGCTGGTCTTGGCCTCCTGGTCCTGCAGCTTACACCACCTGAGTGCTGGGATAACAGGAATGTTTTATAATCTCCACGTTCTTGCCCCAAGCTTACCAACAAGATACCTTTGTTCAGGGAGTGCAGACTCTGCCAGCCCTGAAGCCCACCCCTTTATACCCTTTTGGATGCTAGAGCGGTTGGGACCTACTCAGTCAGGGGACAGACTTGGGGAAGAAAAGCTGACCCAGGCTCGACCTTCATGAGATCCTGGGAGAGCGATGCAGCTCTCCAGGTTTTCTGGGTTTTTTCCCCTCGTTGTGTTTATGCCGTTTCCTGTTTGTGTTTTCTGACCACATGTTAACCACGCATCGTCCCTTTCTCTTGAGTTTTACATATTATTCTGATGAATGTTTGAGCTGAGCAGAAACATTTCCTGAAGCAATTTCTCAAATCTCTTTCCAAATGTCCATATTAATCATGGGATGATGGAGTTGGGGCTTCCATCAAGATCAAAATGTCCGTCTTTGGTTTACCCTGATTCATGGGTCCTAAAATCTCATCCCCTTCTCTGGTCTCCTAATGCTCTAATACGGTGTTAGCAACCGCTGTGTTGACACAAAACACCGTTCTTGTTCTTGGAGATAGCTTATTCTAGCCCAAATATAAGTGATCATGGCCCAGGACATGGGTTCAGGGTGATGAGAAATGACATATTCTGTGTGGAACAGGCCGTCGAACTTCAACAGGCACAGAACAAAAGAAAGGCATTTAAGGAACATATTGGTGGGGTCATCTGGTAGGTTGGTTACAGCTGAGTTGGAGAATCTTTGCTATGGGTGATCTTGGCTACCAGCCGCTGATGGCATGCTTAGCTGGAGTTGGTGGTTTGCTAAGTTTAAACATTCTGGAAGATTTACCTGCTAGCCACAAGATGTTAGGTCAGACACAGAAGCTGGTAGCTGATGGCTTTTAAGGACACTAAAGACAGGGTCTGCAACATTCCAGCTTCCAAGACTTCCCGTGTTCTGGTCAGTCAGTCAGGACACAGGGTCTTCTTCAGAGAATTCAGGCCACAGCTTTTTTTTTTTTTGGGGGGGGGTTATAGGTTCCCCAAAGAAGCAAAGTATTTTTTAAGGTTATTTTATTTTTTACTTTATGAGTGTTTTGTCTCCATGTGTGTCTGTGTATTATGTGTGTACCTGGTGCCCACAGAAGCCAAAAGAGGGCATCAGAGCCCCCAGGATGAAATTACAGACGGTTGTGAGCCACTGTATGGGTGCCAGGAATCACAAGAATGGAGCCATCTCTTGAAGCAAAGGCTTTGAAAGGTGGTTTCTCAGCTGGGCATGGTGTCGAAGGCCTGTATATGTAAGCACACGAAAAGCTGAGGTAGAAAGATTGAGTTGAAGTTCAGTCTAGGGTACACAGCAAGACACTGTCAAAAAAAAAAAAAAAAAAAAAAAAGGAAAAGCCAGGTTTGGTGTTACAAGAATTTAGTTCCAGCACTTGGGAGGCAAAGTCAGGCAAATCTCTATGAGTGAGTTCCTGGCCAGCCTGGTTTACAGAGTGAGTTCAAGGCCAGCCAGAGCTACCCTGTGAGACTCTGTCTCAAAAGAAAAAGAAAAACAAGCAAGCAAACCGAAAGGGCACACGAGTTCTCACCTGTGTGTTCCTTGCGATGGAAGTCTAGTACAGTGAGTGTGTGACTTTGGAAACTTGACGTTTCTCTTTGCTTCGATGGTCTGTGAAGACCTCCGTAGAGCTATTACAATTCAGGTAGGAACAGAACATCCTGGCCGGGTATGGTTGAGAGATCAGGCCTTTCAGTCCCTCATAGCAGCTCCCTCAGCGTCCTTAGTGCCGGGGTTACAGGTGCTCAACACTGTACTGCGGGACGTAATTCTAGATATGACTGTGATTGCTTGTGGCTACTGAGGTAAGGACTGTTGCCAACTACAGAAGCAGCCTCTCTCTCTCTCTCTCTCTCTCTCTCTCTCTCTGTGTGTGTGTGTGTGTGTGTGTGTGTGTGTATGTGCGCGCGCGCGTGTGTGGTCAGAGGACAACTTGCAGGAGTCAGTTCTCTCCTTCCACACCAAGGGTACCTCAGATCAAACCCTCTGAACCACCTGGGCTGTTGGACCTCTTTTCTTGAAGGTTCCAAATGGATGGTGTGAATGAAGGACCGAGCCTAGCATGTGCCACGTAGTAAGAACTAGAAATGAATTACACTGAGACAGAGAAAGAGAGAGGGTGTTGGCAAGGGGGGGGGGGAGGGGGGGAGGAGCCTGTAGCCCAAGTTGACCTCTAGGTGACATTTTTTACTTCTTTTAAAAAAAAAAGATTTTTTGTTTGTTTTTTGTTTTTTTGAGACAGGGTTTCTCTGTATATCTTTGGAAGCTGTCCTGGAACTCACTCTGTAGACCAGGCTGGCCTCGAACTCACAGAGATCCGCCTGCCTCTGCCTCCCAAGTGCTGGGATTAAAGGCGTGTGCCACCACCACCTGGCCAATGTGTGTGTATTTTTATGTGAGTATTTTCCTGGCTTATATGTGTATGTATACTCTGGTGCCCCAGAGTCCAGAAGAGGGCATCAGATTCCTGGGCCTAGACTTACAGACAGTTGTGAGCTGCCCACATGAGTGCTGGGAACTGAACTCGGCTCTCTACTAGATCTGGCCAGTGTCCTTAACCACTGAGCCACCCCTCCAGCCCCCTAGGTCATAATATCTGTCATTCTGCTTATCTTACCCTCTTCTGGTCCCTGAACTAAGGAGCTTCCTCTTGGTATAGATTAGCTTGACCGACCAACTTCCTCTTCGTGTAACAACCAAGGGGAAACTGCCCAGAGCGGGTGCAAGCTTGGAAAGACCTTGCGGTCTTGGGCAGATAAGGTGTGACTATTACTTTTCACAAAAACAGCAAGTGAGTCTCAGAGAGAAAAGCCACTTAAGAATCTCCAGGGGGAGGTGAGAACTCAGAGGAGCATTTGTGTCCCGGACAAGGTTTATCTGTTCAAAATGGAGTTCCCAGATACAAATGCCTGCAATCCCGACTACTCAGGAAGCTGAGGCAGGAGGATGAGTTGAGGCCAGTCTGGGAAACAAGACAGAATTGCCAGTGGTGCTGTGCACCTTTAATCCCAGCAGGCAGATGGATATGAGCTCCAGGCCAGCATGGTCCACATAGGGAGACCTTACCCTGCCCCTGCCCCCCAGAGAGAGAGAGAGAGAGAGAAGGCAAGGGAGGCATTTATGCGATAATTTACAGTTACTACAGAGGGGACAGACTGGAGGTAATATTTGATAGTACTTAGCACCTTTTGTTTGGTTTGGGGTAGGTTTTTTGTTTGTTTTTTGAGATAGTCTCAGGCAATCCAGGTTGTTCTCAAATTCATTGTGCAGCTGAAGATGACCTTGAACTCCTGATTTTCCTGCCTCCACCTCCTGAGAACTGGGATTAACAATGCATGGCATGGAGCCCAGGTTACTCTGTGCTGGGAAATCAAACCCAGGTCTTTGGGCAAGCTAAGGAAATGTTCTACCAACTGAGCAACAACCCCGCCCTCTTTGCATTTTGAGACAGAGTCTGGCTTTGTAGTCCAGAGCTCTGCCAACTCTGATTCTAAGGCGCCGGGCAACACAGTCCCCGCCCACAGACCTCTGGGTCAGCTGTCAACTTCATCTAGAGGCAGGAGCAGACCGAGGCCTGGTGCCTTCTTTCGTACGTGCGGGTTCACAATCACCAACAAATCTGTTATGTCACTAGGGCCTTCAAGATGGTGACATAGGCATTTTATCACTTCTCTTTTTCACATGTAAGGTGTGCCACAGATGTAAGTGAAATTATGTCATCCACCACATGGCCCCTCCCTGCAGGCAGGACAGGATTCCTGTTGAGCTTTCCCGTTTTCAAAAACAAGTCATGTGTCTTCCGTTGTTGTTTTTCCCAGAAAGTGTCCCAGCTCCCAAACACCAGCGAATATGGTATCCTCAGTAATTACACACAATTTAACCCCACTCTCAGGCTGCCCTTGAACTCCTAAGCTCATGAGGTCAGCCTCCTTAGTGACTGGAAGTATAGGCAGACTCCACGGTTATGGGTCCTTATCAGTTGTGTTCTGAAGACAGGGTCTCATTTTGTAGCTGTGAGTGGCTTGGGACTCTCTATGTAGATCAGGCTGACTTTGAACTTGCGGAGACCTGCTTGCCTCTAACTCAGTGTGCTAGGATTAAAGATGTGCCCTACCACATCTAGCCTTTGCCAGATTTGTTTAAGTACATTCCCAGAAATAATATTTCTTTAGTAGGATATGTGTATATAGTTCTTCTAATTATTGCCAATCCCTCCTACCATGTGCATTACCTCTTTTGCATCCCACCAATGATGCCCTAGAGGTCTGGTCCCCACAGCTTTGCCAGCCACTCTTGCTTACAGGCTTTGAGTTTTTTCCAATCTGATTTGAAGGACACGATACTAAAGCTTTTTTTTTTTTTTTTTTTTTTTTTTTTTTTTTTTTTTTTTTTTCTCAAGATAGGGTTTCTCTGTGGCTTTGGAGACTGTCCTGGAACTTGCTCTTGCAGACCAGGCTGGTCTCGAACTCACAGAGATCGGTCTGCCTCTACCTCCCGAGTGCTGGGACTAAAGGCGTGTGCCACCACCGCCCGGCAAGCTTTGTATTTCTTATTAGAAGCAAGACCCATCTCTTTTTACGGGAACATTTGTTTGTGTCTCTTTACTTTTTGGAGCTGTACATATGTCCGGTGTGTTAGCCCCCTGTCTGTGATGTCTGTTTCTCATCTCTCTAGGCATGAAAACCTGAGTTCCATGTCTGGGTCTCACACAGCAGAGGGAGAGAACCGATTCCTGCAGGTTCTCCTTTGACCGATACACCATCATGGTATGCGTGCCCCTCCTCCAATAAATAAATGAAAGTTTTTATGTAGTCAGATTTACCAGGGCTACAGCTATAGCTTAGTGGTAGATCAGTTGCCTACCGAACATGAGGACTTCGGTTGATTCCCCACAACAAAACAAGCAAACAAAACAAGCAACTCCATATTCCCCCTCAGACCTGACTTTTCAACCACGACTGTGAAAATCCCCACTCCAAGCCACAGAGGAATATACTCCTTATCTACAGTGTAAAGAACAGATTGTGTGGATCCCACCCTTTGGTTCACTACAATGAGCTAATTGAACTTTATCTTTCTCTATCAGAGTCCCAAGTTTGGCTTGTGGCTCTTCCCTTCCTCCCCTCAGCTTCAGTATTCCTGGACAAGATCTTCTCATCCTGGCTGGGCTGAAACTGGACTTGGGTCAAAATCAACAGAAGCCTGATTCCCTGACTTGGCTCCATGTGGCTGTCTGTTTTTCTTTCCTGGACTCTGTGCTTTCTGTTTAGTGTTTTTCCAGCCGTTCACAGGTGTTCTGACCTTCCGGGCTTGAGGATGAGGACACTGAAGACCCATGCAGGGCGGGACTCCACTGGAGGTGGGTCCTGAAGCCCAAGGGTCTCTTCCCTGCTTACAGGGTTGGGGGATTTCCAGGAAAAGAGGCTTAAAGTGTCTCTCTCCCTCTCTCCTACTCCCAGCTCTCAAGCTGGCCACAAACTTGGTATGTAGTTGAGGTGACCTTAACTCCTGAGTCTCCTGCCGCCACTCCTTGGGTGCTGGGATGGCAGGCATGAACCATCACACCCTTTTCATATGGTTCCAGGAATTGAAACCAGGGTCTTCTGTATGCTAGATGAGCATTCTACCAAATGAGCCATGCTCATCAAAACGAGGCATAGTTGCCTCTAACCTCAGCATTGGGGAGGTAGAGGCACAAGGACCAAGGTCCTTCTCAGCTACATGGTAAGTTTGAAGCCAGCCTGCAATGCGTGAGGCCTTGTCTCAGACCAACCAACCAACCAACAAACAAAACAACAACAAAACACCAAACAACTAACCAGCATTAGTAAGGCATCTATTCTTGTCTGTTGGCTGGCTAGGGTTGTTTCCAGAAAGGAATGGAAGTTTATATATAAAGCCACACAATTGGTAGGCAGGGCCATGTTGAAACTCCCACAGTAGCCTGTGTTCCTACCCAGTGTTCCATCTACTGACTAACCTCACTGACTCAGCAGTGACCACCCTGGGTTATAGAGACCCACAGCCAGGAAGCAGCTGTTAGTGGAAGCCTCTATTCCATTGCCAGCATGGTGCCTGGAACACGGTGGCATTCCACACATATCTGTTGGGTGACTGAAGGAAAGAGTGGGCAGGATTGTGGGTTAGAGATAAAGGTGGTAGCAAAAAGCTTTGGGTGAAGGGTGAGACCTGTGGATGAATCCATGGCCCCGAAGGTGCTCGGCATTTGCCAGATTTCATGGGGCTGAAGACTAGATAGTCTCGGCTACTGTTCTCCTGTAGCTTAGCTAAGACATTTTAGGTACAAGACTTAGACTCCTCAGGGTAGGAATAATTTCTATTATTAGCCAATTACTGACAACCTGGACATCTAGTGTGCATTTCTTGCTTGATAGTGGTCTTGTTGGTTGTATTTCTAATTTTGTGTATTTTTTTCCTTTTCTTTCTCCTGGACCATACTTGATACTTGTTCTTATTATATATAGTTTTGTATTAGGTTTAGGACCCTCTGATTTAGACAAGAAGGAATTGTTGTAGGGGCCCATTCAGCCAAGAGTCTTTGGGGAACCGGCCCATTAAGGTGTGGTCTCAGGTGCTATATGGGAACAGATAAGGGGGGCAGAACAGTGTGTTCTCTCTCCTGGGTGGTGGTCACAGATCTGATTGCAGCCTTCAGGGCCCCAGGGCAGAAGACCTGGGAGGCTGTCTACCATTGTTGTATGAGCATTCCCCAAATAAGTATTTTTATCCTTTTATTCAGGCTTTAGTGGGCTTCCCTACTCACCCCCACACTCAGCAGGTGGCCAGGAAGCACCTTGGCCATTGATTGTACAGAAACGGGGTTACATCTAAAGAAATGATTCACTGATAAATGACCCAGACTGTGCTCACGTTAGGCTCCTCAGGAGATGGGGTACTCTTCTAGGATCGATGCTGTGGTAACACATCCTTACAAAAAGAGACTTAGCATGCCAGGCGATGGTGGCGCACATCTTTAATCCCAGCACTCAGTACTTGGGAGGCTGAGGCAGGCAGATCTCTGTGAGTTCAAGGCCAGCCTGTTCTACAGAGTCAGTTCCAGGACACCCACAGCTACACAGAGAAACCCTGTCTTGATAAGCCAAAAAAATATTCATTTTATTCATTTGTGGGTCTTTTAAAAACTATTCTACCTGGCTGGTGGCACAAGTCTTTGATCCCAGAACTTGGGAGGCAGAGACAGGAGGATCTCTGAGTTAGAGGCCAGCCTGGTCTACAGAGTGAGTTCCAGGACAGCCAGGGCTACACAGAGAAATCCTGTCTAAAAATAGCCAAAGCAACAAGATTTATTTTTATTTTCTTTCTTGGTCTTTCAAAACAGGGTTTATTTATTTGTGTAGCCTGTAGGCAGCTTAGCAGGTTAGAGAGTGTCCTCTCCAAGTGACTCAGTTGGTCTAAACCTCTTAGCTCTGCTGGTTTCTGTTTCTTCAGGGCAGCGGGTCAGATCTCCAGAGTCATCTCTGCAGCTGGGCTTATTTATGTGTGTGTGGGGGGGTGACTATCAGCTTTTATTGCTTCCTTTGGCAGGGCGGGGCCTAATGAATCTGGTCAGTTTCAGGGACTTCCTGAAGCTCTCTTGAGTTGTTTATCTTCCTGTTTAAAGAGTCTCCCTGAAGTATACAATGTTTCAATCTCAGGGGACACTTAAACTATAGGCTTTCAGAGGTGCACCCCAGGTGGGTCACCAAAACCATCCAAGCCAGTGCCTTCCAAATTCCCAAGAAGAATAAGAAAACAGTGAGCAGAGAGATGTAGAGTTATGGAGGAAATGTGAGGAGACTCTCCAGAGTGGGAGGGGCTCTAGGGGGAGAACGCTAGTGTGCTGCCCTGCCTGAGGGGCTTGGAGGGAGCCTTGCATCAGGGAGTGGATGGAGACTGGCATCATCGATTTTTATGGTCACTTTTGAGCACATCGCAGGCCGAGCCAGTTCACACATGCTTCCTAGGCCCAACTGGAAAAGTCATCATGTCATCGTTCCACTCAGAGGAGAGTTCATGGAAGCCACCAAAGCGCTCACTACCCATCACGTCCTTCACTGGCTAAGGGACACCAGTGTCAGGACCTGAATTACTGGGCTATGGAAAGGCAAAGTGCTACCCCAAGGTTGAAAATCCCTGTGGGATTCCTTGTAGCATCTGGAGTCAATGTCTCCCTCCAGGTATTGGCACCCCCAGAATTCTTCCCTTTCACCTTCTTCTCCATATGCTTCTCCTCACTCCCTCCAAATATTTCCAGTCACAACCATCAACACTTTTCTTTCCATATTTTTCTCCTTTTTTTCCACACCAACATCTTTGTCCCCTCCCTCCCCCGCCCCTCCCCAGGACTCCACTATGTAGTCGAGGCTGGTCTTAAACTGAAAAGCAATCCTCCAGCCCCATGAGCCTCCTGAGTGTTGGGATCGTGGACCCATGGCCCCACCCAGCTTTTCTTTGGAGGTATTGGCTTCCTCCACACTCTCACCCAGGTCCGGTCCTCACTTTTCTTCTTTGCAAGAGCTTTTTTTTGTTGTTGCTTTTTTTTTGTTTTGTTTTGTTTTGTTTTCGAGACAGGGTTTCTCTGGGTAGCTTTGGAGGCTGTCCTGGCACTCACTCTGGAGACCAGGCTGTCCTCGAACTCGCAGAGATCCTCCTGGCTCTTCCTCCTGAGTGCTGGGATTAAAGGTGTGTACCACCACTGCCCAGCTTGAAAGATAAAGTTCATTTTCTACCCATTCCCCCATTTCTTTATCCAAAGGTGGGCAAGCAGGGTTGGCGAGGACCTTGTATGCAGAGATGCAACCCTGGATGGCTGGGAGCTCCAGGTGTGGTGAGAGACCCTGTGTCAAAGCATAGAGGAAGACACCTGACATGACCTCTGGCCTACACACACACACATACACACACACACACACACACACACACACACACACACACGTGGGCTCCTGCACACACACGTGTGCCTGCAATCAGGAACACACGCACACACACACACACACACACACACACACACACACACACACCACATAGACACATGCAAAGGAAAGGGGGAATGGATGCTGGATCTGCTGTCCCCCACCCCCAGGGCTCCCTTCCCTGCTCCAGGGTCACAGGGGGCTAACTCTCAAAGAGCCTAGACTTTGCTGTGTTTACTAACTTTTGGGAGGGTGGTCACATAAACTTCCTTGAACTCCATCCATCAGACTTTGGTTGCTTAACTCCACGTTTCCTGTTTATTTTCTGGGTTTCCAGGATGCAATTTGCATGTAATTCAGGAACTGTGAATAGTAAGGGTCCCTTGCACTTGCCAACTGGCCTAATTTTTAGGAATGACAATTGTTAGTGAAACATTCAGAGGCTTTGAATGGATGGGCTCCCTGCCGTGTGTGAGCCTGTGCCCCCACATCACAGAAGGGGCAGAGAGAGGGCCAGACTCTCCACACCCCTTCCTCTTCTTTCCCATGTGTTTTCATGTTTCTTTTCTTTTGTTTTGTTTTTGCTTTCATGTTTCAAAGGTGCCCCAACCAATAACAAAGGCCGCCAGGAGGATTGGATCAGTGCCATTCTGCCCATGAACTTCAGCAGAGTCTGGCAAACAGGGCTGAATGCCTGCCTGAACTCGGCTTCTTGGTCAGGTCATGGGCTGCCTGCCCACAGGAAGGAAGGAGCCCCCATTTCCAGCTCACATAAAAGCATGAAAGTGGCTCCTTGTTGTTAAGCTCTTGTCTGTCTGCCAGCTGCCGGTGCCAGCACGGACACTCGCTGTGTAACTGTCTCTGTCTGTCTGGAGCCTCACGTATGATAAGCCAAGTGTTCAACCTCTTAGCTAACACCCTGCCGCTCAGTAGGGTGTGGTGGTCCCCTCCTGTAATCCTTATACTCTGGAAGCAGAAACAGGAGGATTGTCACAGGTCATTGCATTATTTTTTTGGTTTTGGTTGTGGATTATTGAGGCATAGTCTTGTGTAGCCCAGACTGACCTCAAACTACTGTGTAGCTAGGACAGGCCATGAATGCCTGGTCCTCCTGCCTTCACCTCTCAATCGCTGTAATTACAAAGCAACTGATACAAAGGGACTCTGACTGAGGTAGGGCCACAAAGTGAGACGGCGGGGAGAAAAAATGCAGCAACACAGCCCGTTACGATAACCACAAAGATATATATATAAAACTTTTTTTGGTTTTTCGAAACAGGGTTTCTCTGTGGCTTTGGAGCCTGTCCTGGAACTAACTCTTGTAGACCAGGCTGGCCTTGAACTCACAGAGATCTGCCTGCCTCTGCCTCTCGAGTGCTGGGATTAAAGTTGTGTACCTGGCCTATGTATTAATTTATTAAAGGATGCTATGGGGAAAACAGACTCAGGAATATAGAACAAAATATAACCAGTTATAAAGTCCTTCCACTCTGCCCAAGGGAGCTGGGAACGGACCACATGCTGTTCACACCAGTGTCTTCACAACAGGAGAGAACACACATCCTCGGCCTAGTCTGTCTCCTTTTAAGAGATCATGTCCACAGGCAAGAAGTCACGCCCTAAGGCCGGTGCCCCAAAGCTATTGGTGGAGTGAATTCTCACAACAAAGACAGACACCCCAACACTCTCTTGCTCTCAGTAGGCATACCCTGACTTTTCCTGGAAGCTGTTGTCTCTTGGGGCGTTACTGAATATCCCCTTCTTACTTTTTTTTCCCAGTGTTTCAGATGACCCAGTTGTGTTGGCTGGTTTTGTCAACTTGGCACAAGCTATAGTCATTTTGGGAAGAGAGCCTTGATGAGAAAACACCTCCATGACTGGTAGGTTATTGCCTTGATGAGTGATTGATGTGGGCGGGGCCAGCTCCCTGGGGGTGAAATAAGTTGAGGACACAGCTTATTCCTTTGAGACAGAAGTTCTCTGCTGAGTATCTAGTTAGGGGCGCTGGGAACATTCCAGCCCAGCTCACACAGCCCATGTATGTGCTTCTGCAGGTGTGTACCCTCGGTCTCCCTCACTTTAACTTTCGGTGGGATGTGACATTTTCTGACGCTGGTGCCAACTTTTGTGGAGCCCTGTGCACCTGCATCGCAACTGGCAACCTGAGTCTTAGGACTGAATGAAACAAATGTGTCTTAAATTATGATCCAAATAGGGACTGGGAGCCTCACACTTAGTGGCAGAGTACTGGTCAACCAAGCATGAGGCCCTAGGTTCAATCTTTTGTGCAGAAAACCAAAGACACGGGGTGTTATTCTGAGGAAGTGGTTGAGTGGTTGAGAGCTTGTATTTGCTGCTACTGTAGGGGCCACAAGTTCAATCCTTAGCACCCACTTAGGTGGGGTAGCTTAAAACCACCTGTAACTCCAGCTCCAGGGGGATCCGGCACCTCTGGCCTCCACACACACATAATTAAAATAATAAAAATAAATCCTTAAAACAACCTAATGTAGGCTATGGTGGCACATGTCTATAATTTCAGCATTTGAGAACGGAGCAGAGGCTCGAAGTTCAAGATCACCTGGGCTATGTGGTATGTTTTAGGCTGGCCTGAGCTATGTAAAACCCTAATTCCAAAAACAAACGAAAAACAACCCAACAACAACAACCAACCAAAAATAATACCTGCAGGGCAGTTGGAAGAATGTGTGGAAGCCACATGGAAAGCCCTAGTCGGTTTCCAGTAGCAAATAAAACCAGGTGTGGTGGTGCCCAGCTGTAATCACGGCACCGTGGAGGAGGCAGAGGTGTTAGGATAAAGCTCGGGGGACCTTGGTGGATTCCATGGCAGGAGAGGGTGACCCAGGTGGAGGGACAAACACGCCAGGCAGACAGGGCTTAAGTGAGTTTTATTAGAAAGGGAAGGGAGGGGAAAGGGAAGAGGAAAGAGGGAGGGAGAGAGAGAAGAAAGGAGAGAGAGAGAGAGAGAGAGAGAGAGAACAGAAGAGAAGAAGGAGACAGGAAAAGCCTGTCTGCTCTAGGGAAAGCGAGCAGGAAGGAGACAGAGGGAAAAGACCTAGAAAGAGAGGAGCCGGAAAGAGGGCATAAGTGGGCAGAGGTTTTTCTTTTAAAGGGGTCCTTTGCACCTGGGCTGACCAGAGTACTGCCTGAGTGCATTCTGCCAGGTGACAGGGGCAGGCCAGTACAATGCCTGAATCCTTACAGGCAGAGCATGCATTTGAGAACAGCTTGGAGAACAGACTTATAAAAGGACAAAACCCCCAACACAAACAACTGGTTAAGAGCACTTACTGCTCTTGCACAGAGGACCTGGGTTTGGTTGCCAGCATTGAGGTTGTATTTTACAACCATCTGTGACTCCAGTTCTAAGAGATCTACTTCCCTCTTCTGGCCTCCAGGGACACCAGGCCCATACGTGGTGCATATATACATATGCAGGCAAAATGCTCATACATGTGAAAAATTAAAAAACAAAATTTAGGGCTAGTGAGATGACTCACCAGAGTGCTAACTGAACAAGCCGGATGACATCCGTTCGAACACCAGAACCCCACGTCTTAGTGTTCTACAGCTGGGAAGAGACCATGACCAAGACAACTCTTATAAAGGAAAACATTGAATTGGGGCTGGTTTACAGTTTCAGAGTTTTATCCATTATCAGCGTGGCAGGAAGCATGGTTTCGTGCAGGCAGGCATGATGCTTGAGAGCAGCAGAGAGACCTACATCTCTATTGGCAGGAAGCAAGAATGAGCCACTGGGCCTGGCTTGGGCTTCTGAAACCTCAAAGCCCACCCCTGGTGACACACTTCCTCTAATAAGGCTACATCTACCCCAACAAGACCACGAGTCCCAATCCTTTCAAATAATGCCACTCCCTGAGAGGGCTATGGGGGACATTGTCATTCAAACCACCAAGTAAAAGTGGAAGAAGAGAGACAACCCACAAAGTTGTCTCTGGCCTTTACACAATCTGTGTCTACTCCATCATGAAAACGCACATTGTCAGTCAGGCGGTGGTGGTGCATGCTTTTAGTCCCAGCACTCGGGAGGCAGAGGCAGGCAGATCTCTGTGAGTTCGAGATCAGCCTGGTCTACAAGAGCTAGTTCCAGGACACCCTCCAAAGCCACAGAGAAACCCTGTCTCAAAAACAAAACAAAAAAACTCCCACACATTGTCATCATTAAAAAAGAGTTACAAAAACAACAAAAAGCCCTACTATAAAATAAATAACACCATATAAGGAAAGTACTTAACAGGTAGTATAGTGGTGAAAAAAAGACAAAAGTTATCAGTTATTTAACATTGATTCTTAATTTTCAACAGCTTCATAGACGTACATATAATGTATTGTGATCATATTCACCCGTTACCTTCTCTTATCTCCTCCCACACACCCCTTCTTCCTGGCTTTCCTCCTCCTTTCATATCTTGTGTGTGTTGGTGATCAGAGCCGCTGTGTGCTCATGATTACAATGGCCATACCGTCTCCAGAATACTGATCTCACAGCATCCTTCCTGGTCCTCCATCCTCCATCCCCTCTCTCACACTGTGTCTCCTTTAGGGCAGACTGCAATGAAATATCCACCCCGCCCACACCTGTAGCACTGACCACGCCCATTTGGGCACGGTCACTGGTGAGGATGTGTTGAGGAGAGAGTTTAGGTCTGGGGTCTGGGCAGGTGGCTCTCTCTTGCAGCCTGATTGGATCCGTAGAGTGGCCATCTGCTTCTTTTATAAGTGACTTCTCCCCCAAATAAATTATATTTAACCTATATTTGAGCCTGGTCCTGTAAATCATTATCCGTACCTCCACAGCAGACCATCCAATAATCCCTTAATCTCAGCACTTGGCCTAGTTATGGGTCTCTGCTTTAACTGTTGCCCCCTGCTGAAAAAGATTCCTCTGGTTAAGGCAGAGTGCAGCAAGCTTTTTTGTTGGCTGCCAGTTCACAAATAACGACCCAGAAATTTATTAATTATGAATGCTCGGCCCTAGCTTAGGTGTGTCCCTCTTGCTCTTACAACTGAAATCAACAGCTTTATATTGATCTACCTTTTGTCTCTTTATATTGATCTCTACCTTTTGGCTTTTACCTGTCTGTTTGCCCGGCTCCCTCCATGCCTCATTGGCATCCCACGAATGCCTAGATTCATCTTCTACTTCCTCTCTCTCTTCCCAGAAGCCCCACCTATACCTCCTGCCTAGCTATTCACCGTTCAGTTCTTTATAAATCAGTCACAGCCTTTCAGCTCTTTATTAATCCAATCACAGCAATATATCTTCACACAGTGTACAACTATCCCACAACAGATAAGAGCTGAACTAGTCTATTAGAATGAACATAAATATTTAGAAGGCAGTTTTACTACCTAGCCATTTAGCAAAACATCTATGATGGCTTTTCCCCTGTTGCCTGTGACCTCCCCAACCACAGGATTTTACCCAGGTTTACAGCACTAGGTGTTTATTTCCTCTTGTGGAATCCAAGAAGAGAGTGGCTGGTTACACCCCAGTAGGTCTGTACTGTGGCACTCGGAGTCCACATCTGGGAAAGAGCATTGGTGAGCTTTCCTCCTTAATAAGACGCATGCATAGCCCCTTCTGGCGCTGTGAATGCCAGCCAGCAGAAGGATGCTTCCAGTCCAGTTCCAGCATCGTTTCTCTGTGTCTAGTGGAGCGTGAGATGTCTTCAGCAATAGAGTCTTACTGTTTGGTTCTGATGGGCAAGCAAGAGCAGTGTCCACAGCCTGAACTGTCTTGGGGGCCTTTGAGGGTTCCCTGGTTAGCAACCCATAGAAAAGTATCCCACACCTAAAAGTGGGAATTTTGGCTTTAAAACCTGTATCTGTGGGAGCATCAGGCACCTTTGTTGGGTATCTCTCTTTAAGCTTTTTATTGATTTACTTGTTTTTTTCCAGTTAGCTTATAAAGGAGTAGGTTAGTATTCGGCTTCTTCAGATACCTTTCCCCCAACATACACCTTTCTCCTACACCCTGATCCCATTCCAGGTTAAAACTTTCCACCCTGGACCCCATCTACAAGCCACCGGAGTTATCTAATGCGTCTCACAGCAGAGCTCACGGTCTGACACATCAGATTAAGCCACAGTCATTGTGTTGTCTCAGGGAACAGTTATTAGAGCCCTGGTGCCCACACAAGGGTCATTGTATTGTGTGGTTTGCAGATGTGTGGTCGTGGAAAGAACTCGGGCTCGGTGTTATGGAACGGTGGAATCCCTGCTGCATTGTCTCATGACCTGAGGCGGTGAAACAGCCCACTCTTTCCCTATCATTCATCTGCTGACACCCACAGGAACAGAACAAGCCAGTGCGCGTGGCTGCTCCCCCAAGGGCGGCTTGCTGGGTTTCACCGCCTCCTCAGCGACGACTGTTGTTTCTCAGCAGCCTCCTCGGTCTTCTCAGGCCTCTGGTACCTGAGCTGGTCCAGAGGCAGAAGTCACCCTGAAGCGTGACTCCTGAGAGTGGAGTGGCTATCTGGTACCCACCAAGCACAAAGAGGTGTGACGTCCTCAAGTAGGGAACTTCTTGTTGTTGTGGTGACTTCTCAGGGACCGTGGTGACTTCTCAGGGGCTCTACCAGCTCCAGATTGCCGTTTCCATCTTCCTTTTTTTGGGGGGGCGGGGGTTGGGTGTTCGAGACAGGGTTTCTCTGTGGCTTTTGGAGGCGGTCCTGGAACTGGCTCTTGTAGACCAGGCTGGTCTCGAACTCACAGAGATCCTCCTGCCTCTGCCTCCCCAGTTCTGGGATTAAAGGTGTGCGCCACCAAACCTAAAATTTTAATTATTTCTATTTTTTGAAATGGGGTCTCTTGTAGCCATGGCTTGCCTCAAAACTGATATGTAGCCCAGGATTACCTTGAACACATTATCTTGTTCCCACATCTCAAGTGCTGGGATTGTAGGTGTCTTCCACCATGCCTTGTTTAAAATAAGTGCTGGTGATTGAACCCAGGATGTTCTGCATGCTAGGCAAACACTCAACCTGTTAATCCACACCCCCAGCTCCTCTTCCCTGCTTATCAATAAGCAAGAGACTGAAACTACTTTTGTGAGCTTAGTTCTGGGATTCTAGGAAATCCCCAAGGGGTTTGCAGTGGTGAGTTGCTTGTCAGCATTTCTCTACAACTTTCATAGGTTGTCTCTTTATCTGTAGACTTTCTGTTGAGTATGAGTAGAGTGTTGCTCCCTTTAGCCTTAGGGGATCCAGGTTAGGACAGACTTGCTCTTCTTCTTCTTCTTCTTCTTCTTCTTCTTCTTCTTCTTCTTCGAGATTTTATTTATTTATTATGTATACAACATTCTGCTTCCATGTATATCTGCACACCAGACAAGGGCACCAGATATCATAACAGATGGTTGTTGGGACTTGAACTCAGGTCCTTGGGAAGAGTAGCTGATGCTCTCCATCTCTGAGCCATCTTTCCAGCCCCCTGTTTTTTTTTGTTGTTGTTGTTGTTTGTTTTTTGGATACAGAGTCTAATGAAATGCAAGCTTTCCCTAGATTCACTGTATAGCTGAGACTGGCTGGATTCCTGAGACTCCTGCCTCCACCTCCATGGAACTGGGCCTATAAACAAGAGTCTTGATTCTGCCCAGTGATTTCCAACAAACAGTACCTCAAGGAATATAGTCTTAAACTTTACTTTGCTCTTCCAAATTCAAGATGAATGTCATACATAGCCCTTGATGGGTTTCATCAGGAGGTGAGCGTCTCTGCCATGTGATGTAGTCTGCATCTGAGAGCTCAGAGGAGAGACAGGAGGACATCTGCAGTGTGACCTGGGTCATTACTGTACACAATCAAGACTCACATTTCACCACTGCTGCTATTTCAAAGTTCTTATCGGATAATGGGGAACAAAGAGGGAAGAAAGAGAGATTCATTGCAAGGATATTTAGGGAACTCACAAATGCTTTTGTATGTTATTTTTCTTTTCTGTTAATTAAAAATATCAGAATCAGGTATGGTAGGTGGAGACAGGAACTCAGAGCTAGCCTTAGCTACATAGCAAGTCCTAGGTCAGGCTAGACTACATGAGAGTGTCTGAAAAAATACTCAGCCTGTCGTTTGGCTCTTGCCACGGACCATGGAGTCTGTGTATCAGCCTGCCTGCAGCTTTGGTTAAACGACTATTTGATAAGTTATCCCTGTCTAATTGTCTTCTTTTTTCTTTGTTGAGGAGGTGTCCTGCTAAAGATGACCCTGAACTCCCGATTGAGCTTTCTCCCAATCACAGCGTCACTACCACCTTGTTGGTCTGTGATAGAGAGGTATCACACACAAGACCAGCCCATCTGCATCCCCAGCCCCTGCCATCCGTCACCAGGGCTGGGTGGCCAGCCAACACCTGCCACTAGATGGCAGTGTATGTGTAGGTGGGGAAAAGCCAACGCCATCATAGGTGAGATTTAAATTTATTTTATTTATTTATTTATTTTGGTTTTTCAAGACAGGGTTTCTCTGTGGCTTTGGAGGCTGTTCTGGAACTCGCTCTTGTAGACCAGGCTGGTCTCAAACTCACAGAGATCCGCCTGCCTCTGCTTCCAGAGTGCTGGAACTAAAGGCGTGCACCATCATCGCCCGGCAAGTTTCAATGTTTTTAAACTTATTTTCAGTAAGTTATAATTGAATACCTGCTATGAACTGAGGAAGGGTGGCAAAGGATATGGAGGAAATGTAACTCGGATCTATAATTTTTACTTGTATCATGGTTTATCTTGTTTACAATTTGCGTTTGCCCATAAGTTCTGCCTGGTTTTTGTTTTTAGTTCTAGGACAGGCTCCAAAGCTGCACAGGGAAACCCTGTCTCGAAAAGCCAAAATAAATAATAAATAAAAAGAAATAAAATAGGAGAGTCAGGGTGCCTCACTCCTTTCCCAGCTCCTGGTAGTCAGAAAGCAGTGTAAAACATTTGTTTCTCTAATCTTCATTATTACAGCATACTAAAAATCTTGTATTGAAGTTTATGATTTGCCCTATTTGGTGTGATGACAACTTGCAAAGCATAATTTAAACACAATTAGAAGCTAATTGAAAATAGAGGTTGATTGTAAATTTTTTAAAAACTGTGAACCCCCAAGGCTGATAGCAGCGTCTTTTTTGGTGGGCATTGTCTTTCTTAGGGAGACAGTATCGATGGGTTCCTGGGCCACCAGCACCATCCAACCCACGATGATGGTGAGACAAAAAGAGACTGAGTCTGAGCCACGGCTTGTCCACGGGGCTGGGGGCAGTGGTGCAGCCTTTCCTGATGTTTCCTTGTAGTAATATTTTTTTCTTGGCTTTAAAGAAGTAAATGCTGGCTTGTAAGAGGCCCACACAGGTAGCCTCTAAGAGCTGAGCAGCCGGCAAGAAAATAGGGTCTTAGAGTCCATAGCTCCAGGCGACTGAACTTCGGCCATGGCCAGAACGAACTTGGAAAACACAAGCCCTGGACAGATTCAGCATCAGCTGGGCTTGGTGGGTCACAAGAGTAATCCAAGAACTTGGGAGGCGGGGATAATTGAGAGTTCAAGGCCAGCCATAGCTACATGGTAAATGTGAGGCCAGTCTGGGCTGCATGAGACCCTGCCCCCACCCCCAAAAAAAGAACTTGGCGTTATTGATTTCAGCCTGTGATAACCAAAACACGATGACCTTGTCACACTGTACACAAGTGTCCCATCCTCAGAACCTGGGAGGCAACAAATGAGATATCACATTTTATCTTCTCAAAGCAGACTAGCCAAATATTATGTTAACATTCCCCCAGCCCTGGCCTTGTCCCTCCCTAGTCTCCCCGGGTATTCCCATTGCAGTAGAATTTGACCTTGGCTCTAAGTAAAGTTCCTTGCTATTGTTTTTTTGCTTATTTTGTAATTTTTTGATGAAACTCTTCTAATATGCCACCATCATCTCCTGCTTACTGCTATTTCTCTGTGAGATTTGATCTGTCCTTAGGTCACCCCAGGAGCCCTTGCATTCCCTGGAAACTCTCACTGCTCAGTGACAGAGGCCTTCTGGAACTCCGGCTGCCAGTCTGTGCTTGTGTTAGCCCTAACCCCCACCCATCCTCTAAGGCGAGGGGAGCCAGTTCCCCGCCTCCACCAGCCTCTAAGGCAGGGATTTGTGCCCTTGCACTGGGACTGTGCTTGGCCTTGTCCATAATTACTCATTAAATTCAACTAAAGGTTGCAATGTGGGGAGAGGTGACAGATATATAGCCAGTACAATGAATTAAATAACATGGAGATAATATCCCCTGGGGTATGGCTCCTGCATCTAGCAGGTCTAGGCCTGGGGATGAAAGGTATGGCTAAGACCCACCTGCTCCAGGACTCATAAAGGAGCTATAAGACAAACTCCAGCAGGGGCCTTTCATCACCTATCATGAGGAAACTCTGAATAATTTTCCTAGGGACCCATTGAGTCAGAGCTCACACCTAGTTAGGCAAGGAGTGGGTGTAGCCAGGTGACTGTTTTCTTGGTCTCAACACCCAAACATCCAACTATTTGTGGACCAGTAAGGGAAGTCCCCTATAGTCAGTACCCTGACACTCTCTAGGTTCTCTCTTGCACAAGCAGGGACAGGCAGGTTAGTTGCCGAAGCCGGAGGCTCCAAGGATCCCTTCAGTTCTCACACTGTAAAGGAGTTAGCTGGCTTCTCTCAGGGAGATACAGAATTCACTGTCCTGCTGTCCTGGGCCTGGAGATCCCCACAGCCCCGTTAGATATGAGGAAGTTGGGGAGAGAAAGAGGGGCCACAGGGATGGCTGGGTGGTTAACATTGCTCTCTGCTCTTGAGGAAGACCAAAGTTGGTTTCCCAGCTGCTAGGAGCCAGAGAGTCTTCTCAGGCTTCCAATAGCCCTACATAAACCCACGTGCAAACACATAGCCTTAAGAATTTAGAAGTTGGGGGCTGTAGAGATGGCTCAGAGGTTAAGAGCACTGATTGCTCTTCCAGAGGTCCTGAGTTCAATTCCTAGTAACCACATGGTGGCTCACAACCATCTATAATGGGATCTGGTGCCCTCTCTGACAGGCAGGCACACATGCAGAAGAAGACTGTATACACACTAAATAAGTACATACATTAAAACAAAAAAAGAAAGAAATTAAAAGTTGCAGGGTGGTGGTGGCTCACGCCTTTAATCCCAGCACTTGGGAGGCAGAGGCAGGTGAATCTCTGTGAGTTCGAGACCTGGTTTACAAAGTGAGTTCCAGGACAGCTTTCAAAGCTACACAGAGAAACCCTGTCTCGAAAAACAAAAAAGAAAAGAAAAGGAATTAAAAGTTGGATTGATGGGTGGAGAGATGGCTCAGCAGTTAAGAGCACTGACTATTCTTCCAGAGGTCCTGCGTTCAATTCCCAGCAACCACATTGGCTCACAACCACCTTGAATGAGATCTGGTGCCCTCTGCTGGCATGCAGGCAGAAGACTGTATACATAACAAATAAATAAAATCTTAAAAAAAAAAAAAAAGTTTGGTTGGAGAGATGGCTAGGTGGTTAAGAGCACTGGCTGGACACAGGTTCAGTTGCCAGCACCCACATGGCAGCTCACAACCACCAGTTCCAGGAGAACCAATGCTTCGCTTCTCTTCTCTTCTCCACAGGCATGGAATGCACACTGTATACAACATACAGGCAGGCAGAACACTCACACATATGAAATAAAAAGGAAGTGAAAGTTTTGTTTAATTTTTAAGTGTGTATGTCTCTCTCTCTCTCTCTCTCTCCCCCCCCCTCTCTCTCTCTCTCTCTCTCTCTCTGTGTGTGTGTGTGTGTGTGTGTGTGTGTGTGTAGTTGCCCACGGAGGCCAAAGGTATTGAATACCCCTGGAGCTGGAGTTAAAGATGGTTGTCCGATGTCAGACATGGATGCTGGGAACCAAAACCTTTAGAATAAAAAAAGCAATACATGCATATATGCTCTCCACCATTGAGCCATCTCTCTGGCTCCAAGAGGTGTTTTGTTTTGTGAAACATAGAGAGGGAGGGTGTTATTCTTTTGTTTAAAAAGAAGAAAAGAGAAATGCTGAGATATGAGACATAAGACTATAAGTTTATTATAAGGCCCTGCAGAGTAGGGATACTAAGAAGAGGAACAGGGGTAAATGGCTGACCGCCATGGCCGGTCGCCATAGAGAGAGCGCATAGGTGAGAGTAGAGAGGAAGCTAAGAGGAAACAGAGCGGGAAACAGAGAGGGGAACAGAGAGAGGGAACAGAGAGAGGGAAGAGAGAGGGAATAGAGCGAGGGAACAGAGAGTGTAAATGGGCAGGAGCCTATCTTTTAAAGGGGTCCTCTGCACCTGCGTGCAGACTTCTTTCCCATGGAACCTTGGGCTGACCAGGGTATTGCCTGAGTGGATTCCACCAGGTAACAGGGGCAGGCCAGCATAATGCCTGAACCTTTCA